GAACAGCGTTAGAACATTGGATCCTGAAAAAAAAGCAGCGCGCATTCGCGCTGCCAGAGAGCGCGTAGAGGAAGTGGAGGGGAGGCTGCAAGCGCTTCGGACAGAGCAGCAATACCTAATTGTGAGTACAGCCGCCCGCGATCGCGATCCCCGGCGAGGAAACTAGAATAGAAGAGTCCGTCAACTCTTTTAAGAATAAGTGTTTGTAGACGTGTGTTTTCATGTTTGGTGTTCTTTTTTTTTAGTGGAGATCTACTCCGGTGCTTACTGGAGATAGACTCCTGTGCTATAAGTGTCTTTGTTTGGTTTTATTTGTTGTGTTTGCATGTATGGGAAAATCCCTAGTGTAAAATGTTTACTACTTAATGCTATGCTAATATAATAAAAAAGAAAGACTTTTTCGTAAAAATGTGCTAAAATTGAAGTTCTTTCCTTCTTTTCTTTCTTGTTTATTTAACAATAGGAAAGGAAGACAGAAGCAATCAAAGTCTTGCATAAGGTCAGGGCTTCGGGAGGGACTCATGTAATAGAGAAGCTGAAATACTGTGTGTGTTAGACTTCCCCCCTTCAAGAGCTCCGCTAGTTAACATAGGGGACTAGCCTGTCTGTCGTATAGAAGAGATAGAGTCTATCCCTAATTGATATAGTATGAAACTCTTTTAATTAGCAAGCGCTAATCTTTCTTTAATGAATGAATTGGCGCAATCACTATCTGATCTTGAATGAAGGTACAAAAGAAATAGGTGCTTGAGCTGGAACTCTCGCATCAGCTGGATCAGCTTACGTACGCTATTGGAAAGGCTAAGTGCTTCCGAGTTGAAAAGGAAAGCTAGCGAAGCTAAAACAAAGATTACAAGCAAATTCCCATAAAGCCTTTTTAAATTCAAGTTTAAAGGCCTTATTGATTAGAAATAAAAAAGGCTTGTTTGGGGGCTCTGACGCGTACTGGCCTCCAAAAGTCTCTCAAAAAGGCCCCTCTTTTTGAAGGCTCATTCAACTTGCTTATCAAAGGATGCTAGCAAAGCAAGAGGGAGACGGCAGGCGGAAGGTAAGAAGGAGTGGTGCAATTAGGCCTACGAGAGAAGAGCTGATTGAATTCTCACCCAAAAGGGTCACAGGGATGGATTTCTATTTAAAGCTGGTATGAGCTCAAAAAGAATTTCATCCGGATCCTCATCTCCTTCACTATGCCTCTGCTCCATTCCTTTCTTTCACCTCTAGTTCCCCAGACTTCTTCCTTCTAGGCGGGTTGGCACAAAGAAAAGCTGCTGATTCTCTAGCTTTCCAAGAGCTTCTTCTTCTTGGCATCTCTTCAAGCCGGCTAGATGGGGGCAACTTTGCTTAAGACTTGGCATTGGAAGTGGGATGGTTCCCGCTTGACTTTCACTCTTCTCTCGGTTGCTAACCGGTGTGGGAGAGGAAGCCTAAAATAGTAAAGATTCGGTCTAGAGTGCCTGGCGAAGGCCTAATAGTGTTTGAAAATAGTGTTCTTCAAGAAAGGCGAAGACTTCCCTTTTAATGGGTCTGACCTACTCTATCGGAGTCGGAGCGAAAGGGAATCCCGAATAATAGTCAGTAGAAGATTCAGTCTATAAAATAGAGGAGTTCTCTTCTCCCAGCGAGGGGTCAACCTAGACCTATAAGTCAGAGAAAGATGACAAGAAGAAAGTAGTAATAGAACTAGGAGACCTGGCAATGGCAGAAGATTCCGCGATAGCAGATTCTTCGGTGGCGGCAGACAAGTCAGCGGAAGTAGAAGATTCGACGGTAGCAGCCCTTTCGCGACCCAGCTCTATTGAAAAAACTTTTTTCACCAGACCATCTGTGGATAAAAAAAGATCGGGATACATTCATTCCACATACGTCTTGCTTGGTTTCAGCATTTTCTTTTCCCGAATAGAGTGATGAGGCGGCGTGGCCGACACCTGTTTTTTCTTTTCAGTTCAGGATTACCTGCTCTCAAAATGAAAATTTTGAATATAAAGAAGGCTTCACACTGGAATCCGGTCTGTCTATCTTACATCGGTTCTTCCATCTCGTTCATACCCGGCGAAGAAAAAGCTTCAATTCACAACCTAGGATAGCTAACGCTACCTTGCCTGAAGACATGGGATTGCCGTAGAAGTCACATGCCGAGCAAGTTCTTGCCTCCTCTTCCTCTACCTATCTCGGGTAAGCTACATCCATACATAGTCTAATCCTCTGATTGACTGTACTCGAAATCCTTTTATCACGGAATTTTCAACAATGGTGGGCTGCTTAAGGCACAAGAATTTGGTTCAGCTTCAAGGATGGTGCTGTTCAGGATCAGAATGAGTCCTGGTCTCTGAGTACTTCCCCAATAGTAGCCTGGACAAAGTCCTTCACAAGAACACCAGTTCTGCAGTTTCCTCTCCTGGAAGAAAAGGTTGAAAGAAAAGAGCTCGCCTGGGACTGGAATCCCATCTCTCTTACTATAGGATCATGTCCGCATAAATAAGATGACATCGAATCTTATCTACAGGCTTTGTCGGGTGATCGATATGGAAGGCATTAGTGCGAATTGGCGGGTGGACTGAAGTGGTAGGGCTTGGGGAATCATCATCTATAACTGATGCCTATGGCTATCGATATGAAAGGGATGCAGCGAGCTTTCGAACTACTGCTTATGTCACCACCTTTGCTTCTTCGGTTGATGAGTCCGGGTAAACCAACGACATATGCTGAGTTACCCCGGTAAACGAGGCTCTGCATCTCTATCTGAATCTGGGATTGGTCAATCCTTCTGCTTATGGTTATGGCTCAGAAAGCGGATCTGAAAGGCGCTATGGATCTCGATCTGGAGAACGAATTTCATTTTTCTTTTTATCTCGAAGAGCTTCTACTCGAACATTAGAAGTAGAAGTCGAACTAGCCTTCTTTCTTTTCTTCCTCATTCCTACTCCTAGTAGGTCGCTCTCTCTCTTTAGAGTAAATGTAAGAAAGACTCTACTATAACACTCGACATACAAGAAGAGGAGATATTCATGAAACCTGTAACCATCGAAGCGATACCACAGTCTCCAGGTCACAGTCGACGGGCGAGAGACAGAGACACAGCAACCAACTATCAAACCGATAGACAGGACAGTCGAAGCGGTTTCAAGCCAATAGTGACAAGGATAATTCCCGAGAAAGCGGCATTCCTCCAATGTGCAGTTCTTTTCTTGGTAAAGGCAAGGCTCTTCGAGACCTCGAGTGAATGGATAAAGCTTTGACGGAGGCACATCTAATAAAGGTCTCTCCCTTGTGTCCTAGGAAGGGAAATTTCATTCACCCCCGAGAAAAGAATTTCCATTCTCCTTATCAGTAGTAGGCTCCTCGAGACCTCGGATGGCTTTGCATAACAACTCTGAAGGAGGCTAGGAATGGAGCATCTTAGCAGACACTGGAGAGAAATCCCTAGTCACTTCGCTGCTCCAAAATCTTTTGGCAAACTCCAAAACATGACTTATAATAAAAAATGTTTTAAATGAGAGACTTTTATTTAGATATAGTTATAGTAAACTGAAACTATTGATTATGGTAAGCGGCCGCCACCTTCTCGTCGGCGATCACCGTCGCCAAGAATGGCATAGTCGCAAAGCTTCGTCGTGCCATACACCCTCTCAGCAGCTATCCACACAAGCGTATGATGTGTAAGTGTGAATAGAGGCCAAGAACTAAAAAATCGAGGGGTTGACCCTTCGTGAACGTCACAACCGATGACCTATAGCCTTTATTATATAAACTATATGGTAATGGAAAGACTACAGAAAAAAAGTATGAACGCCCAGGAAGTTGCAAAGGGAAAGGGATTTCCGAACAACCCTGCAATCATACAGGACGTCAGGATAACAGGTAAGGAATCGGTAGCTGCCTTGAGATAAAAAGAAAATCCTTTTTTCTTTCCTCTCAAGTACTGCAACGGTTGGGTCTGGTTATAGGTACCATCCATTCTTAACTTTGCCAAAACCGCCATGGCTCAATCATGTATAGGCCGTACCAAGGCCTGATACAAGGGTGAGCCAATAGCTAATAACCTTTTCTTCCTTGCTTCCTCGACCTTCATTCCCCTCCTGCAGCCAAAGTGATAGCGGCTGTAGCATCCACCGGTAATGTGTGGAAGAGGGTAAGCTCTCTATGTGGATAGGACGTATCAACACCTTCTGCATCTTTTAAAGGAAATATATAAAAAGAAGAATATTGTGTTGGGTCCTGAGGACCAGGATGGCCGAAGATCAAAACCGAAATGTGCCAGGGGTTGATCATCGAAGCCAGGGCAATAACGATGAAGGAATTTGAGCGCTGATGTAGCTAACAGCCACCTTCATAGTCGATTCATTAGGGTCGTCACCTTCTACCCGGAAGTATCCACCGTTTTCTTTGTCTGTTAAGCCTCACAGCTTTGGGACTTCCTAAATCAAACTGCAATCGTAGTTTATCAACCACTCACAAGACCACCGAGATCTTCGACTTAGCCCCCCAAAGGTAATCCACCCGGCCCTTCCCCAACCTATACAAGGGGAGCGGAAGATAACGAAAGGGAGACAAAGTCCTAACTAAATAATAACACACGTCTACATCATAACACAAGCTACCCATTCCATCTATCATATAAGTCGAGTCGATCCGATTCGTTCTTATCTATAGATAACGCAAGAGAGAACTTATGACTTCGCGGATGGAGAGGGATTCGAACCCCCGGTATTCCTATCAATACTTCGGTTTTCAAGACCGACTCTTTCAACCGCTCAGACATCCATCCCCTTTGCGCTTCGCCCGCCCTATCTATCCGCGCGCTGGCGGGTAGGGGCTTATCCATGTGATTCGCTACGCCCGCCTATCGGCGGACTCTATTGCCTGCCGGTTAGCGAAACTTTTCCGGTAGTACGAATTGCTACGCTTCGCTTGTTTCTATATGATAATATGCACCTTGTTGCTGCGCTCCCTGCGGATAATAGCAAGAGAGTGAAGAACGAATGATCCCCCAAACAAAAAGAGTGATTGAGTCCGACTCAAGCGAGTGAGTGAAAGGCGTGGCAAGAGAGCGAGTTCGACTCGCGAACGATCAGCAAGTGAAGGACCGATCCTTTTGCGCCAGTACTGTTTCGAGACTGGTACTTGGCGGCTCACAAGCAACATATAGACTAAGGTTGCCCATCACTCCCTCGCTCTTTTTTGAAGGCTCTTTCTATTCTCTTTCTAGTATGGTTCCTCCATAAGAACACTGAACGCCCAGTTTCGCAGAGTAGCTCTCTCCCCAGCCCACAGCATAGTGTGGAATCTGGATCGTTTCATCGAGCACCATTCCTTTTAGATAGAAAGGTGTTCAGACTCTATTGGATCAAGTCATAACCTATGCCTTCTACTAGTATACTATCTACTATGGAGAGACTAAGCTCTATTTCAGAGATTTTTCTCTCTTACTGTGATTAGCCCCTACTAGTAAGAAGCTGTTCCCGAGCCACTCTACTACTCCTTACCCTTGTAACTTAAAAGGCGAAGTCGCTGAAGCGAGTCTAAAGGCCAAAGAGTTCTCTTTGAACGCTACTACGCATCCTTAAAAATAGTAAGCGTAAGGTAGGTTTGGGTATAGCAGGACTTGAACCTGCGACCATTAGGTTAAAAGCCCAATGCTCTACCAACTGAGCTATACACCCAAAAAAAGATGTAGTAGTAAATAAGGATTGGTGCGGAAAAGAGGGCGGCCCCTCTTCTTTTCTTCTCATCATATTAAAGGGGCGCGGCTCTGTATGAGGCTCGTACTGCAGAGCAAGCGAAGAAAACGTAAGGGCGCGCGTTAGCACTCCTGCAAGAAAACTCAAGGAAAGCCTTGATCGATATGAGAAAGATGCGCTCAAGCACCCAACCCATACAAGGGGCTCGGGCTCTAAAGCCGGCCTTACTCAACAAGCACCTTTATTAGTAAGGTTGCTTGTTTCCACTCATTGAGGATTCTATCTACAAAAGAAGGTCAACGGGGGATACTAAAGTGGCTCTCACTGACACCATCTACGAGAAGGTGAGGTCGTCTTTCTTTCCAGCCACCATACGGTTCGCCTTAAAGCCTTAAAGACGGAGAAAGGGAGGAGCAGTTCTCTATGTAATTAAGGTCTTTATTTAGCGTTGTTCCGGTCGAGCACTCTCTTTTCTTTGTCCAATTCCGTCTTACCAAACAAGACTGACTTCTGACCAACCCGCGAAGGGTTGTGAGGTTGGACCAGGTACGAAGAATGAATCTATATCTGTGTACGGAAGTTGCTGGCCGGCGGCCGCTCAACTGTTCGAGCGCAATGCAGTGGTGGTTGGTTCCGATTCGACAAGGGTAGAATGCCTGGTCGAAGGTCCAGTACAGTAGGTAGCAGGCGTGTTCGTTTTGGCTCCCGAGCGAAAACGATAAATAAATAGGCGATGCGCCATCCTTGCTGCTACGTACGTTGACCTTGACTTGACGGATTCATCCAATTGAACTCACACCCAAAGGAGGACGCTCGGGGCTCGACGAAACAGAAAGTATCAGCATTCAGAAACTTCTTGGGGTTAGCAGTGAAAGAAAGAGCCCGGCATTCATTTCTTCATTCATATTCATAGCTGAGTCTACTAAAAGAGGGACCGGCCTCATCGTGGTGATTAGAGGACATCTCTGATCGTTCACCTCTAATGTGACACGTTCCCTCCCAGTTATATGATCAACGGGATCAGTCGGCTAGAGAGCGGGGCTATTCTTCTTCCGGGGAGGCAAAGTCGTCCCCTCTACTGATCGAACCCTCAGTTCGAAGGTCTTCGTCAACATATTACGAGGCTCCAGTCTTCGGCGGGTCACCATTACTTGACTTAGAAAGGCGAACTTCTGGGCAAGGGAAAGCGCAGTGCGCCTGGTGCAAATGGCTTTCTTTTTTCATGATATACCAAGAAGAATGGAGGGCCCTACCTACGTACATGATTGATAGAATCACTACGTAGGGGGGGCGGTCAACTTGATGCGGGAGAGGCATGAGTACAGTTCGATCTTGTGGTGTATTCGTTTGTAGTGAGTAGGGCCTCTTTCTCGTTGATCAGTTCGCCTCCGCTCTATTGAAAGGTCTCCATTCCTACGGCGGTTTTGTCAACGAACGCGTCTCGGGCTGGATTGACTAACCTAACCTTTAAGGGGGCCTTGCCATAGTTGGGTGCTCTGCTTTAGTGTGATTGACGAAGGCTAGGCTAGGTTTGGTAATACCCAAAACAAATGAAAAGAGATCGAGGTCGATAGTTGGCAAGGAACTTTATCCCCCCGGGCAGCTGCGGTCGAACTCTAATTCTGGAAATAAGTCGGGGCCCTTTTACCAAGTCTACCGGATAGAAGATGATAGAGGGCCAACTATCGTTGCGTTGCACAAGATGATGCCGTCTCACTTCGAGTTCCTTCCTTCGTAGTCAAATCTGATGATACGCTTCGGCGATGTTACCTACCAAATAAAAGGCCTGCTAGGTGATCGAAATCGCTCAGGTCAGTGAGGACTCACTCACTCACCTACTCCTTATCTATCTAATAATTTCTTCTATCTACTGAATTCAAAGACCCGCCGCGCCGGGCTATAAGATAAGATACAGCTGTTGTACTACTTGACTGGTAAGAAAAAGCTTACGTAAGAACTGGAAGAGTCTTGTATGTACGGTAACCCTCTCTTCCGCTATTAGTGGACTGTTGCACAGAAAGGCCGACAGAAGCTACGTTTCTTAGCGCGCTTTTCAAGCGCTTAGCTTCTGCTAGCGGCGGGCGGCAAGGCCATAAAGTAAGTTCAGTTGGAAGTCTAAGCCAAGAAGGTACGAACGAAGTGACGGGCCCCTTTAGAGATAGGGTAGGGGGGCGGCTTTCTTGTGGTAGTAATTGCGAACATCTCTCCTTTTCTCTTAGCGTGCACAGTTTGCTTGCATGCCGCCACATCTTTCTTTCTTAGTTTTACGCTGGCCTAATGAATGAATGAAAGTCAGTCTTTTAGTAAGCGTATATAAGCAGCTGTTTAGTGTATAAGCAATTCTTTAGTGGCCGCACCGAAAGGTACGTACGGCGGAGGTTGGTTGAAGATGATGTTACGCGGCGTTCAGAACCAGCCTTGAAGTAAAAAAATTAGAAAGAACGAAGAAGTAAGGAAATGAGACGACTTTTTCTTGAACTATATCATAAACAGATCTTCCCCTCCACACCAATCACGAGTTTTTCTCCATTCTTCTCGTATATCGTCGTAACGCCCTTAATGCTAGGTTTTGAAAAAGACTTTTCATGTCATTTCTATTTAGGTCCGATTCGGATCCCTCCGTTGTTTCCTTTTCCTCCCGCACCTTTTCCTCGAAATGAGAAAGAAGATGGTACACTCGAATTGTATTATTTAAGTGCTTATTGCTTGCCAAAGATCCTACTTCTACAATTGGTAGGTCACCGGGTTATTCAAATAAGTTGTGTTTTCCGTGGTTTTCCCATGTTACAACTTCCGTACCAATTCGGTCGATCCGGAATGGATCGGTTAAACATTCCATTAGGGAGCCTGGTCTTGACTCTTCTGTGTGGTATTCATTCTCGTTCGGCTCTTGGAATCACATCCAGCAGTGGTTGGAACAGCTCGCAGAATCTAACCACTTCACCTACTTTATTGCCCCTAACCGTTTCTCGTACCTCTATTGAAACAGAATGGTTTCATGTTCCTTTATCGATTGGTTATTCCTCTCCGTTCGTATCTCTTTTTCCAATTTCGGTCTCGATTAGTTTACAAGATTGAATGGCCAATTCTCCTCCGGACCCTAGATTCGATTGTTTTCCAAGAATGTTGAGCCGGGTATGTAAGCCATGTATCTGGGAGGAACTTAAAAGAAGGGCTTTCTTTCGGTTTTTTGCACCGTCTTGACGTGCTTCGAAAAACATAGAGATATGAGATTTGCACTAAAACAGTTACGATAGACCCACCGGGAACACATTCACTACTGGGTATTGACATCTTAATGCGTTGCAATCTGGACATTGATCGATCTTTATGCTTCCCAGCAGCTATACAAGCCGAATCGGCTACCAGTACCTATAAAGACCGCTCGACTTCTTGAGACCGGGGAGGGGCACCCCCAGTGCAGGGCCAATTTCAGTGCCGGTTGGAGACCTGGTTCGAGATGCATATCTTGAAAGAGAGCCATCACCTCGCCCAACATCCCTTCCTTTTCAATAGTCAATTCGAGAGCCAAATCCAAAAGCTTAAGAAGCAGTTGATCTTGATCCAATTCCCGATGCATGGGGCGAAATGCTGGTTGAAGCCCCCGAAGGGGAACCTATCGAACGGGAATTAGTAGTAGTGCTGCTTGCTATAAATATCTTTTGGAGGACAGCGGACGTCAGAAATTATTGTAAATTAAGAATCTTCTTCGATTGATGGATAACAACAATAAAGTGGGAAATAATTTCAAAAGATGCTTTCGAAGTGAAAGTGAATTATATCAGATGAACGCGCTACCCTTCAAAAGAAATTGCGTAATTTGCCTACCAATATTCATAGCATTACGAACATGGGGATTAAAGATTAACGAAGGAGATGATATTGAAATCTAGATACATGGCGTCAAGGGCTTTGGCTTGGATCTCATCAATCCAACGACTGATCGCTACCAGAGTTTTAGTAAAAATGAAGAGAATTCTGGTTTCCCAGTTGGCCGCAAGGCATCCGCAGTGTTGGTATAAAGTCTTTCCTTCATACCAGCCTCTCGTGGACAACCTTACTTATACCATGATTAGTTCAATCATGTTATAATCCTTCTCGTGATACAAGAAGGTGCCCCCCAACCGTGCCACATCCGTGGTAGGTCAAGGTGAGAAGAGTCTGATTATCTCGTTCTTAAAAGATTACATAAAAGTGAAAATGAAATTGAACGTTTTATTATGTCGATTAAGATCGGTGAGACACCAGATCTCTTGGCAGAGGGTTTTAGAATGCCCTCGGTTAGCAAATTCTCTATTAAAAAAGAGTTCTTTGCTAATCCTGGACAAGATCACAAAGGAGACTTGTATAGCCTTGCATTTGTTCCTTCGTACTGTATATTCGATGGGGCGAAAATCTGGATGGTTGTTTACTGCTCTATATTTGAAGCAGTGTTCAATCCATTTGAAGATCGCATATGGTGGTGTCTATGTTAAGAACACCCCTTATCCAATATCAGTATCCCTCACAGGGTCGGGATATCCGAGGATAATTCCTGCTTTTGTGCGTAGAACTATCCTACTACGAAACAGGAGGTCTGAACTTGCTGTCCAGTTATTTCTTAGTTTCTTTACCCTATTCGCTATAGTGGAAAAAGGTAAAGTCATTAAGTCATCTCTGTTCAGTTCGATTAAGACTCCTATTGCGGATATCGATAGAGTGGCTCGTTGGATTGGCGGTGCAAAACCCCTTTTCAAGGAGCTGTTCTTGAGGTATATCCCGAAGATCCAATCTATTCCCCTTGAACAAGGGATGCGATGGATCCCATCCTGGAAAATAGTACCTACTTACACCGCTTTGAACACTTTATATGGGATTTTTCCAGAGAAAGCAAAATATAAAGGTGTTAAATCACCGTTTTTAGTTCAATCAATGGAATTATCCGCGTTCTCATTCCTCGTCAATTTTCTAAATTCGCGAGGAGAGCAATGGTGTCAAGGTATTCTATTTGAAAAGCGGATTCGATTTCCCTTTGATAATAGTAATAGTCTGTTTTCCGGGCTTGACCTAGAGTCTTTTGAGGCCAAGGTTGGTCCTTACCTACCCTCTTGGCACCCAGCAATGGGTCCTCCAATGTTAGGGAGGTTGGCACAAACTGTGGAAGGTGGAGGGAAAAGGAGATTGTTTGCCATAGGCAACTGGGTGAATCAGAGGTTACTCACTCCAATTCATGTGTGGCTTGCTTCTTGTTTGAAGCAGTTACCCATGGATGGGACCTTTAATCAACTAGGTCCTCTGACCCGGTTAAAGGGTCAACAGTATGGATATTGCTATGACCTGACAGATGCCACTGATAGGTGGCCACTGGTTGTCATGTTCACTGTGATGGAAGTCCTGTTTGATCGATCTTTTGCTTCTGCAGTAGTTAATTCCGCATTGGCAACTAACCGATTCTTTATCAGTTTCTTGCCAACAAGTGATATAAAGAATGAAAATCACTGGATTAGCTTTATTGCGGGGCAGCCTTTGGGTTATAGAGCTTCCTGGCCTCTCTTCTCTCTATCCCACCATCTTGTTGTATGGTGGGCAGCAGAGCAGATATATCCCGGAATGCTTTTTGATAGATATGCGCTGCTTGGAGATGATATAGTAATCTCCGATCCAGCCGTAGCCCAGAAGTACACCGAGGTTCTGTCTGTGCTTGGTGTGTCCATATCACAGGGTAAATCCTTGATATCTCACACCGGTGCAGCTGAATTCGCGAAAAGGTTTGTTATAAAGCAATTTTCCACTGACTTGTCTCCAGTGTCAATGAAAGCATTGCTTGGAGTTCATGTTTTATTATCTAAATATGCTCTTGCCCACCGTTACCGTTCGATAAGGTTTTCTACCTTTCGGAGGTTAGGTGGTGCGGGATACAAATCTTGTTCGAGACTGCCTCCCCAACTCCGCTCTCGTAGAGAGAGATATGAGTGGGGTTTGTGGATGCAGCTTCGGTGGCCCTCCTTAGAATTCTTCTTTGGAGATGGCAACCTTCTTCCCCCTGCTGAATTCTGGTGGGTCTTGAGACAAATTGTTAAAACTTATCGTCCAAAGGACCTTAAGGAGCCCCCTGGTGATATGTTCATCACCTCGGATCAACATTGTTTTCAGGAGTACACTGGTATTCGCTGTTGGGTTGAAGAGTGGCTGGGTTACTATAAATGGTGGTTACACTATTATCAGCTAACAGAATGTTATCTGGATTATTGTAATCCCACTATCAAAAAGATGATAGACCGGGTTTCTATAGACGATGTCTATGCTGCTCCAATGTGCACAAACAGTTGGAGACTTTCTAATAAAGATGTGACCTATATAAGGTTCTCTTTGCTTCAACGCATAAAGGAGCTTCTAGATTCCAATCCACCAATATTGTATATTGCTGGAAAGGAGTGGTGTTCTGATGAGGTGCAAAGAATAAGTGATTATTGTTTGTGTGCCTCAAAGACCCATATTGTCTATGGGGAAGGTCTGTATCCTTTTTCTGTGAGTTCCTTGGGACTGATAATCCCAAGGATGGCTCAGTGTCCTGGCTGTCTCTCCCGGAAACGGGTGTTGGCAGCTAGTCCGCTGGACCTTTTGTCCAGACTTTAAGGAAAATGCTTCAATTCTTTCTCCTTTCGCAGGGAGAAGGTAGGGCTATAGACTGTAGGGGAGAAGGAATGGAAAGAAAGCTTTGGGAACTGGCCATAGGATTGATACTAGATCGCTTAAAGTTACACTCCCAAAAAGAAAAGCTAATTCAAATCTATGTGAATCGGCTGCCTCTGTTAATAAAGGCTTATCAAAAACGGATGCCTCAAAAGGTCATCTCTTTATCGAAGGAAAGATAGAAAGTATAAGTACGCTAGGTTCTAATTGGAGGCCGTGCAATCGCTGGAGAAATAAGGGTATATTAAGAAGAGTCTCTTTTTAAGAATCGCCGATGCGAAAGACAATAGAACCGAAAATGGAAAGACTAGTGTCTAGCATATTGCAGTTAGTTAACTCGAGTTCAGCCCCCTCCCGGGGGAGGAAGACGAATCTGTGATAGAAGAAGCAGCTCTTATCGCAAATCCGCTCTGCAGATGAAGTAGAAAAAAGGCGATAGGCGATCATGAAAGTCAGGAGCTCTCCTACGCTAAAAAGGCTTTCCCATCTTTCAAGTGAGAAAAAGGAATAGAACTTGCAATTGAACGACCAGTCATAATCAACCGAGACTGATTCTTAAGCCGAGGATGTAGTCGCTTTTCCAGCAAATAGGGAAGGAAGCCGGTGGGTGTAGACAAAGCTTTTTATAAGAAAGGTTGACTCGAGCTCGTTAAAGTTCAATACCATCGCTGAATGCGGACTTATGAACCAGATTCCCTTCGAAGCCTAACGGCAAACTTATTTAATTTAAACTGATGTCTATATATCTTAATAGAGGAATTCCAGTCTAGGCGGGTCATTTCACGTCAAAGCCTAGTGCCGTGAAAGGGCGGGTTAGCAAGCGGACTGATTGAGCCTTTTGAGAGAGAAGAGGGGGATGATAAAGATAGGTTTTTTAGCATCCGATTTGAAACAACTCGTATCAGCTCAACCAGTAATGAGTGTCTTTTGGAAAAATATTACATTCCCTTCTTCCTCACAACTATCTCTTCTTGTAGCGTATATGCGATGTGAAGGAAGATTCCAAGTAGCAGCTGATATGTGACAAGGGTGTCCATCTTATGTTATAGGCATTTCTACCTTTCTTAGCGGATTGAAGACGCATATCCGCTGTGGTCGTCCCTGACTCCATTCTTTTACGGTGACTGGCTTAGCGGGACTGTCTCGATCACAGCTTCTCTCATGGCTTGAGACAGAAAGCATGTCATGACTCAACTTCTCTCCGAAAGAGATCAGATGTCCTGTAGGACGACCGGCTTGTCTAGTTATTGAATGAAAGGGTCGGTAAAAAGAAATTCAAGTCAGAGACTTTTTCCTTCCCTTGCTGTCATTTTCCTTGTTAGGGAGTGCCCTACTAAAAGAGCTCTTTCGCCCTTTATGCTAGTACATAATTCGGCTTTTTTCTTATTATTTAAATTGAACTTCAATAGCAGCCTATTCAGGCCACATCAATCCTATCCTTTTAGAGGAATTTGCAGTTAAGGGACTTTCCCTTAAGTCAATATATATCTCTCTCGCCTGCCCCTGCAACTGCTAACATGTCATGTGCACCTGATAAATAAGCCCTAATTACCATTAATTAAAGGCTCTGTCCATCTGAGGAGGGATGCTGCTAAGACCGGATATGCCCTATCAAACCGCCTATTTTGCCAATCCCAACCCCTCCCTTTCTCTTCTCTTTAATAAACTCCCAAACTCTATCGAGGAGGATTGAAGACCAGAAGCAGAGGCTGCAGATAGGTGTCCACTTTCTGAAACTGACTGATAAGGGGATGAATCAACTAGTGATTCAGATATTCCATCTTCCTTTACCAGATTCGCACTCAAGGGGCCCCCTACTGTCTTCACTAGAGTTCTATCTTTTCTTCGCACCTTAGGACAGTCTCTCTCCCTTCACCTCTCTAAAAGAATCTTCTCTCTCTAACAAGTCAAGCGCTTTCATCTCTTCAGTCTAGCTTCACTCCCCAGACTGAAAAGCGAAGAAGTCGTAAACTCATTGAAAGAATAAGACAGTCTAGATATGGCTTCTTCTTTCCCATGTTCACCACCTTACCTTACCCTTAGGCGCCTCTCGGAAACCTCATAATCTGAATCACTTTCAGTCTTTTCTTCACTTTCCTCTTCGCCGAGATCAGAAACCGCATAGGGTGATCCTCTGACTCCAAATCGGGTTGCCCTTCTTTTGTACTCTAGCGTAGAGCTCCTGTTACTCGAGTCACAGAACTCGAGGGAAAGAGCTCATCAGCATGCAAGTCGATAAACCCTAAAGGCAAGATGCGAAGGTACGAGCTTGAAGTGTCCATAAGCTTGAAGCATATAATTGTATAGAGATGAGGGAAGGAAGCTCGACCGATGTATCTATTGATGATTATTTACCTATGGCGGACCAGGTGAGAGAGATCTTCCTAATTGCACCAGCAGAGCCGGAGTAAGCGGATTGGACTTATCAGATCCAGATGAGCTCAGAGCCATAGCCTATGCGAGCCTTACCGGAGCTCTTGTAAATTGTTCATACCTATGAGAGATCCGGCCTAAAAGGCCTATTTGAGAGACTTATTCTCGGTAGAAATAGAAATCCCTTATAAAAGAGCTTGAAGAGGCACTATAAACATGAGGAGGGCATAGATCCGATACAGACAGATGTGACAAATGTTGCGACAGCTTCAACCCTTTTTTTAACCCTTTCGGGCGATACATAATTTAGTTTCATATTCTATATTTCCTATGTGCCGCAGCCGTTCACTCTTGAATTCATTCCTTCACGGAAGACTCACATACTGAATTGCATTGAGGTAGTGATAGCGCATTGAAATTGGATACTGAGCACGGAAAGGAAGGAGAGAGCTTAGAGGGCAAAATCAGTAGTCTTTCATTTCAAGTCAAGAAGCTTGTCGTCTTACTGATTGTTTTCAAGGCAGGAGTAGATTGACCAAGGATGGGAATCGCCCACCAAGCCTTAACTGCTAGACGAGAGTACTGCCAACCCCGCTTAGGTCGGATGACATCCCAGCCCGGGCGAGTTGGGTCCAAAAAAGGAGAAAAAGCGCATCTGGTATAGGATCTTACAGGAGCACAGGAGAACAACATATATCAAGGATGGTAGCTGACTTGATTTAGTGTAGTGGAACACGAATTATGTGCACTCGAGGGACAATCTCCGTCCGGCCCGAGGATAATAGAAAGCCGCGCAACCAGAGAAGGCCAAGACCACCTTACGCTAAGGTGATAGATTCTGTCTCCCGAGCCAGAGGTCAAGCCCGTAGTTTCAAACACATCCAGTTTTCTTTTAGAAATCAAAGCTGCCAAAGTAGTTCTCTACTTCGCA